AATGTACCTCTTATATCCTTCATAGTAGGATTACTTTTAACTTGTGAAAAATTTCTTGCACCTTTGTTTGACATGTTAAGATAACCTGCACAAGAGTAAGCAAAGAAACAAGTGTACAAGGTAACTTGAGTGTTCAATTGATTTATCAATTCATAATCATGTTGAATTGTGGTGTCGTTCTATCTTTTTAATCAATCTTGAGCTGTCCTTAATTGTTTAGAATCCGCTACCTCAAATTTGATACCATATTCTAGATTTTTGGACTTGTCTCTTACAAATTTTGTCATAGGATTGGCGGGGTTCATATCAGTTGATATCAGAGTTTTGAATTGTGGTCTAGGTTAATATTTTTTTCTTTTTCTTGTTTTCTTCTTTATTTTTCTACCAAATTTTACCCAATTCAAAAAAAAAAAAAAGTTCCACCTTTAGGGTTTGAAATTTCATAGTTTTCTTTGAATCGTATTTTTGTTTTGAGTTCGCAATCTGTTTCTTTATTTGCGTGTTATTTGTTGAGTCGAAAAAAATGTAGTATATATCTTGTAGCGTACAACTCATATATACTATAGCAATACTGTAGCAGTACTGTTTATTTGAAATACTGTAGTAGTATTGTTCATTCGAAAAAAAATTTTATACCTTGTGTTTGTCTCTCGTCTTTTTTCTTGAGTCTATGGCTGGTTTGTTTTCAATTTTGGAAGCACTTGAAGTTCTTAAATCTTGAATTTTTGGAAACCTCAATTCACCTTTGTGAACTTGAACTTGCAGCTGTCCTTGTTTCTTGATTTGATCTGTTGAAAAAAAAGAAGAAAAAAAGAAGAGAAAGAATCTGATTTGAACCACGAAAAAAAAAGGAAGAAAGAAACAACAGATCATAGTCTTGAATTTGAAAACAAGAAAATAGTTTAAAATTAGAAATCAAAGTTGACTTGGATTGTTTTCAAAATTTGGACACATAATCATTTTTATGTTTGGTTTATATTTTTTTTCTAGCTATGAATTCGAAACACACTTAGGAAAGTTCCTTAAATCGCCATCTTACTTTCTTAAAGTGAGTTCAAAAGCCAATCAATCAAGCTTCCAAATTCCAGCAACAAACACATCGGATAGAATATCTTTCTAGATTCCTAAAAATTTCAGCCGATTTGTTTGTTGTCTCAGTTTCAAATCTAATTTCTTCAGCCACTTATAGTCTGTCTTTAAGTCCTCATTTCCAGTTTATATTTGAGTTTAGTCGGTCCAAGAAGAGTCCAAATTAGTTTAGGGTTACAAAGAGTCAAATAGTTTCCTAATTTGAGTCATAAGTTTACCAATTCGAATCCTCTTTGTATTGTGTCTTTTTTGGCTGAATTAAACACCAAGTCAAACAAGATTTTGGGTCTCTACTTCCACCAATAAGTCAAGACATGATGAATTACAAGAAAATTTCAGTAAAATATTTTGTGTTTAGCAAGTCTCTTGCCTAAGAGATCTTTACTTGAATACTTGAAAGGATTCTTGAGTTTTCAATTGATTTATCAATTCAATATCACGTTAAATTGTGGTATTGTTCTACTTTTCTAATCAATCTTGAGCTGTCCTTGATTGGATTAGAATCCGTCCAATTTGTCCATAATCTGATCAAGATAGATCCTTTCACTGTCTGATTGATTTGATTTTCAAGACAAATTCTTATTGGGTCGAATTCGTACCAAATAGAGACAAAATTTTACCTTTATAATAAAACTACAATCAATAGGTGAAAATAAAAGAGAGAACCAATGAGTTCTTTAATTGCTAGACCTTTTTTGCTTAAGAAACATAACAATCACTTCTTTATCTTCCAACCTTCAATTTAATTTTTTTCCTATATTATTGCCACCTTCTTCATCTTCCCCTATTTTAACAATAAAAGCCACAATCTACACCCTGTTAATTTAATAATTTCAATTGGTTAACATTTGTAAAGAGTAAACGTATTGAAAAAAAAAACGTCTAAAATTTTATAGTAAGAAAGAGACATGAAACCAAAAAATACATATAAATTTTCTAGAGTAAAAAATTGATAGTGGTGTAGTTGATAACAATGGAGCGCGATATTTGGTGAGAGAGAGAACTTGGTTGCAAGGGAAGAAAGGAGTATGAAAGGAGGAGAAAGAGGAGGAGAGAAGAAGAAATGAAAATTAAAAAATGAATGAAGATTGATCTTTGAAATTAGAAAATGACAAGTCCAATAATAAAAAGTACTCCCTCCGTCTCAAATTTAGAAACGTTTCTTAGGATTGCAACTTTTTATGTATAATAGATTATTATTCCCAATGGATGCTTTCCAAAATTACCCCGTTGGAAGTACCTTAGTCAACTAAAGTTTATGTTTCTCAGGGAGTCATAATTATGTGGATCCTATCTCAATCAAATGCATCTCTTCCTCAACGCATCAATACTAGCCTTATAAAGTAAGAGTTGTTTCACACACACTTCTAACTTCTCTAAATGGGAATAAATATTAGGTCCCATTAATTTTCTTGGGATTTTTTTTACACATGCACAACAAGGGTAAGAATGAAATTGCGGAAGGGAAAAATTGTAGCATGACTCTAATTTTGGGACAATAAAAAAAAAGTGAAACATGACAATAACAATAAGACGGAGGGAATAAGACTTTTCTTTTCTTTTCTTTTTTGGCCCTTTATGACTTAAGTGGAAGACATTTTAGTTATTTGATTGGACTAAAGAAGATCTATTAATTATTGAAATCGTAGGAGAGCTAAGTAAATTTGTCAAAAACCTTAAGGGAGGTTTCTCCAATTAGGATGTTAACTATAATATGCACTGCGGGGAGCAATTCTTGTTCACAGCCAGACCCAACGAGTGCCGTTACAGATAAATTGCCAAGCGAAAACTCAAAACATGATGCAGGACAACTAATGACGAGGTCAAAGCTTCACATTATCAGAAGCTTATCCTTTACATTTTTCTTTTTCGCTTTTAAAGGCCATCACCATTTTTTGAAATAATAAAAAAAATTTTCCTCCAGTGCTGAATGACGTCGGTATATGTTGTTCAAGCGGCTTAGAAGATGCAGAAATAGCTGGAACTGAATGCGTAAAGCACGTCAATATATCTCGTAACGTAATTAACCAGTAACTTGGTATGGCCCTGCTCTACTCGTTACCATTTCTTAGGTGTCAAAAAGTATGGATCCCCGCACGGGGAATTGAGGTTTTTGGGGTTTTGCTATACCCGAAACTTGCGAAATATTGAAAGCCATCACACAAAAAGTCATCATTCTAGCATATAAACAAAAACAAACATTAGTTCAAATTAGTAAACAGCTGCTGCTTTCTGCCCAGTTATCCGGTTCCTGGGCAAAACATCCAACTGACAGCTAGAGCAGCTCTATTTTATTTGGCCAGTCAGCTTCATGCTCTATTTCTGCTCTCTGTCACTCTTTCCTGCATTTTTCCTGAGTTGCACAGAACATCTCACATCAGAAGTTACCTTAGTTACAGAAGGGAGAAATGAAAGAGAACAAGTAGGAAACAAATGAAAGCATTTAGGCCACCTCCATCTCCCCCTTGTAGTTTCAACCTATTATCAGCAGACTCCTCGATGTCAGAACTAAAATGCCAACCCACCCTGAAAATTTTTTACCGCAGCTGGATAATTGCCGTCCGAACCAGCTAACAATAACCACAAATTTCACAACTATATCAACATCCAGAATTATTGATATTCTTGGTATATATTTGTAACTGCATTGTATTTCTATTTTTGATTTACAATTATTGATATTATTCTTATAGAGAGATTTGATTGATTTTGAATTCCGTGCCAATGTAATATATTAGATATTGATATTAGTAATGATGGTTTAGATTATTTTGTGTTAAAAATGTGGCAGTTATGGAATTAAAATTTAGGAATATTGATAAATATTGTAGTATATTAAGTAAAATCTGATATTATTATGAGATTGTATGTAAATTTTTGGGTATATGATGTAGCGTTTATAGTTGATACAATTGTCTGCATCAAAAATTTTTAGATAAAAGAGAAACATTAGAACAAAGATAAGTGTTTATTTAATAGTGATTTATATGTTGATAAGTAGGTAATAGTGGCAGGAAATAAAGATAAATGAAACAGAGACTGTAAACCATTTTTTTTCTTTACATTTTTGTTTTAAATTATAACTCAAGGGCATTAGAGAAATGCCATGTGCTTGCAACTTAAAACAGATAGTATGAATTGTCAAAGTTAAAAACAGTAGTTTAAGTAGAATCTCGATAATAGCAAAATTTTCATGGCTTGGCTGTGAATCAAGCAATGAAGCCAATGACAGCAACTGCTATTACTTGGCCTACTAACACCCATCCCAACTTTTCATCCAACTTTACCATGTTTTGTGTGTCCATTGCTTTAAGTTCTGTCAATCCATCCTTCAGATTTATCAACTAATGCAGAAACCATATGGGCCAAAAGCAACTCAGAAAATTATCTTAACCACTTTAACAAATTTATCATCTCTGTACTTCTAGGTCACTGGCAAAGCTCCACAAGTCCCTAATTACCACTTTTTCCTGGCAACAAAAGAGGCGGATGAGAAAACATCCATGCCTTTGTGTCAACCGTAATCAGTACCAGCAATAAAAACAGTTTTGAGAGCTGGAGCTATATTTGTACCCACTTAGGTTTCAGTTAAAATTAAAGTACATTAAATACTTGTGATCAGCAGATGGTCACAGTCAACATCTTTCCGAAACAAATATGAATCATCATAGAAAATTCGCCAACATACTATCTTAGTAGATAGGTAAAAGGTTCGACTTATGTAATTCACCTCCAGACACATAGGCTGAAGTAATGACAACTTTAGATAAGTACAACTAGTTTAGAAAAGAAATATGAGATGCATCATTGAGCGGAAGGTGCTGTTCCCAAACAGGAAATCTTCAAATAAGGAGTTTGAATCCCAAAAACAAAAGAAAATATTATCTTAATTAAAGTTGGAAAATCCAGTAATTTGATTCATGTTGAATCAGGAAAAACCATTTTGCAGCATACCTCTCAAGCAGAGCTTCCAGCCTCTCCCTGTCGAGTATTCATCAAACAAAATGAGTTACTGAACTACTACCAACACCTTATGCAACCTAACTCAATGACATACAATAGAATTAGAGCCAAACCTAGTCTGCTTCAATTCCTTTATCGCTCTTTTGTATTCCTCCCTGCAACAAAAATATGCCCATGAGAACCTTTAATAAACCTTGTCAATGTCCTTGTTTGATAAGGAAAAACCAGAGAACTGTAAAGTTTGTCTTGAAAAGGAAACTAAAAGCATAGGGAATATGTCTTGTACCACCTCCAGTAGCCACATAATAAATAAGGATAAATCCACACATGTATCACCTTATTATCCCAGTTTTAGCTGAAAATTCAGCTAACATTATACAAATAGCAAACTAAAGTTGACCTATAGGCTTCAATTGGCAAGCTTAGAAAGGCATTTGAGTTTAGGACACAGTCTCTAGGTATCTCCTCATAAAACTACAATTTTCTTTTTATCAATCAAATAAACCACAGGGATGGAAGAGACAAACAATAAAGTTAAAAGGCTCAGAAAGTAGGAAGGGAAGTGAGACTGTTATAGATAAGACAGATCTTAAGCCAAACCTGTTAAGTTTTCTTTCTTCTTCTTCACGTGCCCTGCAAAATGGAACATTTACTTCAGAACTTTCAAACTGTAATGAGTAGCATTGCTCAGAAAGTTAACATGCAATGGAGCAGTCCCATATTTAAGATGAACAGAATGAAGCAATTCAAATGAACCTCCAAACTAGAAAATGATAAAGAACCACACTGGTTTGTTTCAAGTCCACAATTATTTTTTCCCATTGCCTTTTTGTTTCTGGGTTGGGGGTGTGGTTGGTTGCTTGAAGACCATTCGCATCAAGGAACTAACCTAACCAAATACAAACTAAGGAAATATTATTGCACAAAGCAGCTCCCTGTGAACAAGCACAGATGAAAACCTACTTCTCACACATGAGAAGGACCACTAAATCCTACTTCTGATATCAACAAATGTCGATCCTAAGACATCCAGGTTGCAAGCAATGTCGAGTGCGCAACCTTCAGTTCATTACGTATAACACAGAACTAATCATCTTTGAATGTCTCTAACATTCACCATTTCTCTACGTAATTTTCTTCTCATATATTCTTGCATTGCTGCAACTGCACCACCATTGAACTTACCTGCACTTTCATTCATAAGCATATCCTGCCCAATGATACATTGCCATTCAAATTATTCTTCATTCATTCATCTCAACAAAACTTCCAAAACAGTATTCTGCTTAGCCCAAAATGCATCTATGTGATACATGTTCTCAAACACCTTTCTTAAAACAGATAACCAAGCATATGGACTTAACTAACATCTCATCATACACTTAAGTAGCAGGAAATCATGGGATTCCCTAAATGAAAATGCTAACTGCTTGATTTCAAGACATCCTAAGAAACAAAGAAGAAATGATAAGAGGCTCGTTACAGTCATATCAACACCACACGTGAAATTCATACATTACAGAAATTTGGCTGTGACCAATAATTATTAAATAATTTATAGTACAAGAGTCAATCGTGACATTTCCTAAGCCTAGCAGACTGATTCTACAGGATGGACAAAGGCCTGGAAAGGGAAGCATATTTCTTAGTACTATTCCATTTACCAAGGGATCCCTGAACAAAGATCAAAACGTATGAGGGACAAAGGTAAGAAACAAGAAGATATTCCAGTCTAATCACAAGGACAATATCCCTTACATAAGAAACAAGAAGATATTCCAGTCTAATCACAAGGACAACATCCCTTACAGAATGACGACAATATGGTGTCTTGAACTACTAGCATGGAAAGTAGAACCTACTTTAGCTGAGGTAGATCAATATTTCTCACTTTATGTGAAAGGTTAATGTTTAACTGGTTCTCCACCAAAGGGGTAAAGCATTCAAATAATCAAATTCATTGACTGCACTCAAAGGAAAACAGGTTTCAGCTGTAAGCTACGCATAAGAGGCTGGCAAATCACGTCCATCAATCCAGACAAACACGTTCAACCAAACAAATAAACAGGAAAATAATTCCATATACCATAAGATGACGTACCATCGGCCACCAAAATCCATCCTGGCACCATTGAGACAAAAGAAAGAAAGGAAATTGTTATGAGGAAAGAAGCGCCTGAAATGACCAAACTAAAACTTATGGGCTAGGCTCAGCAATATAAAATGCTGGCTCGAGACTTACCAATATGTAAAGTTAGCAGCCCCCGTCCCAAATATTCCCAAGCACAAAACCCAGTTATCTACAATAGAAACAGAAGAAATCGAGGCCAAAAATCACCATTTAGCAACAAAAAGAAAATATAACAGTCACTGCATTAAATAGTCTTACTAAAAATTTACCCAACATCGTGGACATGATCTGTTCTCCGATAGGCGTAGAGGCCCTGCACGAACGTTACTACCGTTTTTCTTTTGTCTTCCATCGTACATAAAAATCTTTCTTTTGTCTTCCATTGTACCTAAAAATCTTTACCTGAGAGAGCCTGCAGCAGATTCTGGTAATAATTTTGGCACAATATATTTTCTTCTATAGCGAGTCGGGTCCGGCAGTATATACTAATAATGCGTGCAAGAAAACAACATTGGGCTCCGTGAAACTGAGGGACAAAGCAGAAGTAGTAGTCCCTCCCTAGTCCCTAATTAATTATAGCGCCTCCAAAATATTTCTCGTTTGTGCCATAAGCAGATTATTAGTAACTATGTACTGATTGATGTTCAAAACCAATTGCCTGCAGCAGGAAGACTCCTGCGACATTTATAACATTTCAAGAGAGGAGGGGTGGGAAGGAAGAAGACGACGACAAAGTACAACCACTTCTGCGAAAGTTGGAAGGAAGGAAGGGTAGTGAAACGTTTGGCATCGATTGAGATGACAGATTTCGGATTGATGTCTTATTTTCTTGGTATTGAGGTTCGTCAGTTGGCTGGTGGAATTTTCATTTCCCAAAAGAAATATGCAGGTGATATTTTGGATTGATCATCTTTCAGAAACCACTTTCCAAACACATACATACATACGTACCCACACCTATTTGCTACTTTCTACTACTTAGAACCATCCCATCCCCATCTGTAATATTCCTAATTCAGCATGCATGCAACAAAACCATCCCATCTGTAATATTACTAATTGAGGACAAGGACTGAATTTTCCAAGAAGACCATGCACGAGCTCAAAACCATCTGATGACACATCAAACAAGCACAAGAACTAGTGTAAAGCCGTGAAATGCCAAAAAGTTGCATTTGATCTGCGAAAGATTTTTGTGTCCTACATTAAACAGACTTCCCATAGACCAAAAGAGAGAGAGAGACAGAGAGACAGAGAGATTTCATCATAGCTTACTTTGATCTGCATCGATTGCCATCCCTTTTGGCTCTGTCAAAGAGAAGGATTGTGAGAAACACTACATAGAAGTAAGGAAGAAACTGCAAAGGCCCCCAGAAAAAAAAAAAAAAAAAAGGGTCGTGAAGTTTACTGTAAAAGATACTGACACCCAAATACTGGTAGGACCTTGTAAATCTTCTTTTCGAGAGAGAGGAAAAAAAGAATGTCAAGCACTACAACTTCTTATGTCTGTCGCACTTGCTTACATGACTAAACAGAGCAGGCACAGTCCAGAAAAAAGCTGCTAATATTTCTGGTACATAATGGAAATGACGAGATAAGCCCCACCTGCACAAAAACAGCAACTAATAATATCAGAGGAAGTCCAAAGTCATTTAACCTAAGATACGGGCCAAGGTGGTCCATCCAGATTTAAGTTCCGGTATATTCCACGCTCACACAGATGAAAGAAATGCAGACCACCACATCACAAGCTGGGAAATTAAACTTATCATAATTGCTTAATGAAGAATTACATTTGATCTTTTGTCATCCTGAAACAAAACAAAATTATATTCATCTTTAAACAAAAATCAACCAAGCTCAGCATGAAAGGTTAACCCCAGCCAATCAGAAATAACTTACCATCCTGATGTTTGTAAAAGGCTGGTTTTTGTCTTGCCCGAAGTTGTAGTGTTGTACGAGGCAACATCCTATCTTAAAAAGACATAATAATACTCAATAAACCCATAAAAGAGCACACAAAAGAATGTTGAGATTTTTTTTGGGTCATTTTGAATACGTGAATAAAAGTCACATTGAAACATATAATTGTTAAATATTGTACATATTGAAACATATACTTGAGTTCATTATAAAATTTCTAAATGTAAATTAAATTTTTTATATATAATTGTTAATTTTTTGGAGCATTCCAAAAAATTTATAAAACATGTACCAAACTATTAATATTAGAAAACTTATAGAATATGTAGACTAATAAGTAGGTAGATTAGGATGACTTATTGATAAGTTAGTTTAATTATGGTCTTTACTACCCATAGGAAATGTTAGTTTAATTATGGTATTTACTACCTATAGGAAATGTTAAATTAAAATTTTCTTTTATTTTGGTCAAACGTCAATAATCAATAATCAATATCTATATCTACTTCTACTCCTACACTTTGGAGAATGGTACAATCCATCTAAGTCCATTAATTATCACTAAGTGAGTTTTACTTAGTAACAAGTAAGTAGCTTTGTTTGGATAGGAGTGTTTTTCAAAAACTAATTTTTCAAATATAAAAATCTTTAAAAAGTACTCTAAAAAGGTAATTTATAAATTAGTTTAAAATTTTTAAAAATATCTCAAAATACATTATAGAAACTCTTCTACTTTTAAATATCCAAAAATATTTTCTAAAAGTATCTCAAAATATACCCTAAAAACTCTGCTACAGCAAAGTTTTTAAAAACACCCCAAAAAATAGCTAATTCAAATTTTTTCGTACAGAATTTAAACATTTAAACTAAACATAGATAAGCATTAGATAACAGGAGCTTATTAAAGAATAAATTATCCAAAAAAATCTTGGACAGAAGCATTAGATAACATTAATCGAACTTGTTAAATAGTAATAAATAATCAAAAAAAATCTTGAAAAATGGCACATGTCATGTTGTTGTAGATCATCTGCAACATATCAATGAACTGGTAATGATAATAATGTAACGTACGGGAGATAAAGATATAATTGAAAAATGCATTAATGATTCAAATAAGTAAATTATGCGAACCAGTCAAAACAAACCCTTTTTTTCATTTCATGAGTTGGCATCGGCCTAGCTTAATTAAGAAATGAAGTGAGACAGATGGCTTCTCCTTATCTGTCTTTTATCTCCACCAAGCGTGAAGCGCGAGAAGCAAAAGATGAAACGGAAAGAACACAGATAAGAACAATCCTCAAGCAGTCAAGCCTGAAACTTATAAACTGGATTTAGGATGACCCTTTAATCATCAATCTGCATAGTTTTTTTTTCTTTCAAAAAGTTGGGATCATCTTTTCTTGCTTGCATCCCTACTTTTATTAGTAGTAATTAATCGAAGAATTGGAGGAGTAGTAGCGTCAAATTAATTATTAGGAGAAGGGAGCAGGGACGATGGCCTCCTCCCGCTGCTGCTGCTTTGGCTTTACCACCACCAACATCCCAATTACTACTACTGCTACCACCACTCGTAGTTATCGCCCCCAATTTGTTCAGCACATGATTCAGCTGCAGCAGCTCCCCCCTCACCCCTCTAACCCTTTCCGCCACTTTTTGCAACATTCCCCCGCTTCTTCTTCTTCTTCTGCTCGACTACTAAATGCGACATCGTTGCCTTGCGCCTCCTCATCTTCATCTTCTTCCTCACCCTGGGATGATAAACCCTACGAATTGTTGCCGAATGGGAGAATATCATACTTGGACGAGCAGGACATCGTCTCATTTCTTGATCCTCCCAAGCACCTCATTCCTTTGGACCCCTCTTCTTTCAATCCCGCCTCTTATCTTTGGTACTTTCAACCATAAACAAAATGCTGCTCGCTGAATACTTCTCAGTTGGATTTTATGCCTTGTTTGTCTTTTTCTTTGGTTAAAAAAAACTGGTTTTTCCATCTGTTTTAATTCCAAGTGTTTGCTTTTTGGTTAGGAAGAAAATTGAGGATATTCCAGAGGAAAGGCGGCATCGCTTGCTTTCTTTGCTCAATCCCAGGTACCTCAATCTCTCTGTTAATTAGATCATCAATATAAGTATAGTCTCGGAAGCACCTTGCCTGGCAGAAGCAAGCCAATCTTTGATGGACGTCTTTCCTTACTACTAATAATTTGTGAATCGCATTTGTGTTTTTCTTCCGTTTGTGAAAAGTTTTAGTGTTTGCTGCTCATCCATGCTAAATTTATTTGCTTCCCTCGCTGCTTCATGTGTTTCATGTTGGTAACCTTACCTGAACTTTATTATGCGTGGAATACTGTAATCATATAAAAACTCTTGCTTCTCTAAGTCTGTGCTATGTTTCAGGCTCATATCAAGAGCATGGGAAATAGCAGGCACGCGGTATGACGATCCCAAGTTAGCTGTGAAAAGCGCATCCAATCTGCTCTCTCATGCAGATGATCATGCATTGCCACTTGAATTTTGGAACTGCCGAACAAGTGGAGGTACCCTGCTAATCACACCTCATGTATCTTCTTTAGGGAAGCCTTTTTTCTTATTAGCACGCATGAAGAAGCAAGGCTGTGATTCAGTTGATTTAAGAACATGTTATGGACAAATATGTCTTCTACGGTGGAAGCAAATTAACGGTTGAAAGCTTTGCTTAACAACCATGGACTCTGTATAATGATGGTTCAAGTGCTCCCATGTTTGGTTTTTGCTTCCTGTAAAATAAGGTTCAAGAGAAGTCGTAGGCAACCTTATATTGCGGAAGTTTAAAGGAAATCTTTTCTTGTTTTGGTACAGGGCCACTTGCCATTGCCTGGATGAAATATTTCAAGAAGGTCAACTCTTTTATAACTCTCTCTTTAGGCAGCCTCTGAACTAGTATTCCTTGGACCAAATTTAACTGTTTGTTTATGGTTTCGTGGCCAGGCACTGTTTTACAGCAAGGAAAGGACATATGGACGATTCATTGGTATGTTGAGATGGTATTTACATTTCTGGTTAAGCCCTTTGTCCTTGCTTCTGTCCATTTCCTTCAAGTGAATCGTAGTAGCTCAAGGAACATTTTAAATTAAATGGATGGATTAAGTTTGTCTGATGGTAGCCTCATAGTTATACTTCACATATTTTTTCCGGGCAAACATTAAGAATTGTACCTCTGGTGTCTCTGCCAATTTTTTATCAGCTTGTAATGGGCGTATATCATAAACAGAGAAATAGGGTCCGTTTATGTTGGTTACATGGTCTCAAGACTTGATACCTCGCTGGCTTCAACCAAGTTTATTGTATGTAATGTATCAATAGCTGACCGAGTGCAGTGTGATGTCTGGCGTTTTAGGGGGATCTCTTCTGGAGGGAATTTCAAGTTCCTTTATCCCGTTGTATTTCACGGTCATCAGAGAAATCCACGAAGTAGTGTCGACAGAGCAGCCTTGTGATTTAGCGTATGAATTTGGTGACGGACTGTTGGATCTCTCTGATTATCCCCAGGGCTTCCCCAAGCCAGGTTCGTTCGTAATAGCATTCACATCATCATCGCATTCTCAATGTGGCAAAATCGAATCGATACATGTACTACCTTTTTAACTTGTCAATCCACACCAACTTTTATATCCAGTGCTGTTCTTATGCTACATTTCAGCAAAACATCCATGGCCTTTCTGCGATCAAGTTGTTGTATATGTCCGTCATTTGGGACCCGGAGTATTGGTTGGCCAGGCTTGGCAAGAAGGGGAAGCACTGGAACAAGTTCCTACAAAGCTTTGCGGAGAGGTTTTAATGGTTAAAGACAATTCTGGTGGCATGTGAAAGATTCTCCTACTCCATCCTCTCTCCTTCCTTTCGCTCCAACAATAATAATGTTATGTTGTTAATTCTTCAAGAATGTGGCAAAATGAATGAAAACAGCCACTGCCGCTGGCACAAGGCATTTTCGTTCAAGTTAATCCTTCTTGCGCAATCAAATTTTCTTTTATTATCTCTGTTTGCCCTTTGGTTTTAGTCAAATGAGTCAGGATCGCAATTTGATAATTTGAGAGGGGCCTATCCCGTATTCTTCATTAATTAAGGAGTGAGGAGTAAGGACCTTCGATTCGGATTCTATATATATATATATATCTCTCTCTCTCTCTCTTTTGCCATCATGATCTACATTTTCATGAAATTGTCAATAAATATCCCTGCTTCACTGTGTGAACTCGAATGATTTTAAGTGTTATATTGTCCTGCGCCTGCATCAATGATTAGTCAAATGAAGTCTTGGTTTCCTCGGGTTTAGATTTGTAAAAATTGACGTTAGCTCTTTAGGTTTCGAAAGAAAAAAAAAAAAAAAAAGTCTTGTCTGTTTCAATTTTCGTCTGGATTCTAAAGTTATTTACCCATCCAGTTGAAGAAGTTATGAAACAAATTCCATTCTAGAAAAATCTATATATATATATATATACTCGCACCATTTCATCTTTAAACTTCTCTTTGTTATGTTGCCAGATTCCATTGACTTTAAATATTTTGGATTGTGATTTTCTATCAAAAAATTTTTACGTTTTTCGTGAATATATTTCTCAATTATCTTTTTACTTCACAATTTCAAATCGCTATAATATATTTTCTGACAAAAAAAAATCATAAAAATAACAATTCAAACATGACTTTTTTTGCATTTAAGGCGTGTAGGTTTTGGGAATGTAATTTGATTACATTCACAAGAAAGTAAATTTCATTTAAGATTTTGTGTGTCAGAAATGCATAATAATCTGATTTTTTCAGAGTACTGTTGGTACAAACAAAAAAGGTTTAGATAAAATGTTTTAACGCAATTCCTTGCGAATTTTGAGAAGGGAAGAAGGATTTATTAAAAAAAAAAAAGCCAAATTAATAAAAGGAGGGAATTTTGATTTTATTATTTCTTTGCCGGTGGCCAAAGTTGGAGCTGGTCTCTGCTTCTGAGAATTTGCCCCCAGTC